GACAGGGCCTCACTGAGTTGCTTTGCACCTCACTTTTGCTGAGGCTAGCTTTGAACTCTTAATCCTCCTGCCTTGGCCTCCCAAACCGCTGGGATTACAGGCATGGGCCACTGCACCTGACCACAGAGGGCTTTTACAGAGGTGATTCAGGGAAAATGAGATTAGGGAGGGGATATCAGTAAGGAAAAGATCAGGGAAGAGAGTTTAGGGAAAAGAAGATCAAAGAGAAGTTTGGGAAAAAGACAAAACATGTAAGTTTCAAAGCGACAAGAGATATAGTCAAAGCATCAAGTGGACTCTGTTACAGTTGCACTCCTGTTTCTTACTTTAAAACCCTGTATGTGATTGCACCAGCACAGAACCCAGGAGGACACTGACCTAGACACTGCTGGCCAGGGGGCATCTTGAATCTGTTTATCAGATTGGTTGGGGAGCCCAGCAACATTCCATGTGCTGGTCTATTTTGAGCAACATCCCCAAGACAAATAAGATCCAAGCATTAGGGGATGGGGTTTAAGAACACATTGTCTCTTCTTGCTTACCTTTCACAAGGGCAAAAAAGGAAGCTGTTTACACATAAAGGTCTGTTATTATTATGACCTAGCAATGCAAGAACACTTAGCAGAGTCACACTGCCCTGGTTCAACTGCCCATTCCTAATATCTTATCAGCTTTGTGGAACATTCCAGAATCTCTCTATGCTTCTGTTTTGTTTTGTACTGGGGATTGAACCCAGGGGCACTTTAACACCAAGCTACATCCCCGGTCCTCTTTATTTTATTTTGATGCAGAGTCTTGCTAAGTTACCAAGGCTGGCCATGACTATCAATCCTTCTGACTCAGCCCCCTGAGTACCTGGGATTATATGCATGCACCACCACACCCAGCCCTCATCTTTAAAATATCCATGGATCGAAGTTTTAGGAAGCCAATAAACAATCATTCTGCCCCTTCTGAGGCCAGAACTGAGAAATAAAAGTGGAGATACAGATCAGTGATAAAGCCCTTGCCAAGCACGCACAAGGCTGTGAGTGCTATCCCCAGCTCTGCAAAAATAAAAAACAAAAAAGACAGAAAGGTAGAGATCAATGTCATCTTTATTACTAATAAATGCTGTGCTGGAAGATGTGGCTGAGGCGAAAATACTTCACCCAGTCGGTAACACAGTGGGCAACTGCAGACAGCAGATAGTAGTGTTACCGCTGTTGACCGGTGACGAGTTCTTGCTTCCCCAATGTTGAAAAATAACACCAAAGAAGCATGCCGAGGCAAGGTCAGAGTAGAAATTAGAAGTTTATTAAAGGACAGCAGAAAAGACTTCTCCCGGAGGAAGAAGGGGACCCAAGAGGTGGAATCCGTGGAAGTGGGGTTGTCTCTCCATTTTATAGTTTCTTTCAGTGATGGAATGTAGGTGGGAAGGCCTGAGGGGTGGGACACAGGTGGGCCAAAGAAGTAGTCTGAGCAGGAAGGACTTCATTAACACTTCTTTGGGATGGACTTTGGCCTAGGGCCTTTTCGGGACTTCATTAACATTCCATGAATTGTCCTGTGTTTTCCCTGAGTCATTCTCCGCATGGTCTCCATTTTAGATTTCACTCGATATTAGACCCAATTTATCTAACTACACTGACTACCTAACTTTAAATCTGGCTTCATTAGCACACCCTGTTCAGTTGGGCATGGTGCTCTAACCCAGAACTGAACCTTCCCAGAAAGCCACTACTCAGGGAAATCCCCCTCTTGCTGTGGGGAAGAGTGAGAGGTGGATGAAAACTAGATAATCTCTCCACCTTTTGTCCTCCACACTCGGCCTTACTGGGGAGTAGAGTTGGGGATCTACCCGCCCACCTTGAAAATATGAGAATGGGTAATAAGTGATTCCCTCAATCCCATCTCATGCGGTTAATATGGAGATTAGAGAAAAATACAGGGAGTGTCTGGAACAGACTCCAGAAAGATTTCTTACCAGCCTGGGTTGTTCTAGGCTGGTAAGTCCAGCCAGAAGGACAACACTGGTCAACTAAGGGAAGGTGTGGTTAGAGAATGTAGGAGGCAAGGAAGTGTTTTTGTTGGCTTTTTCGTTTGTTTGTTTTGTGATACTGGGGATTGAACTCAGGGCACTCTACCACTGAGCCATAGCTCCAGCTCTTTTTAGTTTTTGAGACAGGGTCTCACTAAACAGCCTAGGCTGGCCTTAAACTTATGATCTTTCTTCCTTAGCCTCCTAAGTCACTGGGATACAGGCATGGGCCACCACAACCAGCACAAGGGAGTTTCTTTCTTTCAGTTCTGGGGATTGAAACCAGGGGTGCACTACACTGGAGCCATATCCCCAGCGCTTTGTATTTTTTGAGACAGGATCTTGCTTAAGTTGACCAGGAACTTGTGATCCTCCTGCCTCAGCCTCCTGAGTTGCTGGGATTACCTAGAACACTGTGCCCAGCACAGGGGAGTTTTCTAAAGGGTGGGGGGGGGTTGCACTTTCATTTCTCTATCTGTTCCCTACACTCAGGAAAGCTTGAGCGTTCCTTAATACTGATAAAATATGAATTGGCAAGACTTCTAAATAAGAAAAGAACCCCAAAACTGTGTATCTTTGGTAACATACCAACCCAGTGTCTTCTGAGTATAGTTAATGGCCGCCTTTATGGGTGTGTGTGCTATTTCTGTTGTTTTAGGGTGGGGTGTTTTTTAGAGGGTGGAGAGGAAAGGACTCTTGTGTGTTTTTCAAGGCAGGCTCCCTCCTCACCCAGTGATTAAAACAATCACTGGCCTGGAAGTCACTGGAAGCAAACAGGAACCAGCCCAGGGGAAAGCCCTGACCAGTTACTGAACAATATAGCAATTGCAGTGAGTGCGACTAAGAAGACAGGAAATAACAGGTTATCCTGATAACATGCCTTACTGGTATGTTGCAGGTCTGGGTGCAATGTATCATCAAGGCTGTACTTTCCACCTGATCTGCCTCAGCCAATCCCAGGTCATCTACCAGATGGAGCAAGGCTGCTGGTTGTGTGGACATCACAAAAGCCCAGGGCAAGAGGAAGCTGATGGTCTGTGAGCCTGATGGTTCCCTTCCCTGTGCTTAGTCATCTCTTCAGTGGGGCACTAAGAGAACACCTGCCTGAGTTTCTGGAATACATGGAAAACCCCAGCAGCCTGCATCCCTGACAGGTTTTACCTGGGGTAATCCCTTTAACAGAGACATCACCCTTGGCATTTCCAACTGAAACATCTTTAGATCCTCCTCTCCTCAAGGGTCAATGGACACAGAGGGAGCAGGCTCCTAAGCTCACACAAGTTCCACGCACTTACACAAGATTTTCCGTGAATATTGAGGCTTGCTAATTTAGCAATAATAATACCTAGTGCTCAGGCATTATATTAATTTTCACAGTAGGAAGTAAGAGTTGTTGTTACCCACATTTTACAGAGGGCAAATTAAGACACAGAGAAGCCAAGTGGTGTTCCCATGGTTTCCAACTATCTGCCGCGTCCACACCACATGTTTAGTTCAGAAGGAGGAAATTAATACTTTTCCCATAATTTGTTCTCCATGACTCAGAAAATATAAGATCTGGAAAAGGCCCTAGAGATAACGGAATGTAACCTTTACAGCTGGGATGTAGTTCAGTAGCAAAACGCTTGTTTCCCATGTGTGAACCCCCTGTTTCCATCCCTAAAATCAGACACCCCCCCCCCCCCCGGGGGTGTAATCTCTGATTTTACTGATGAAAAAAAATCTTAGATCTGGGGTTATTTGTCCCAGTGTTACCGCTGTTGACCGGTGACGAGTCCTTGCTTCCCCAGTGTTGAAGAATAACACCAAAGAAGCATGCCCAGGCAAGGTCAGAGTAGAACTTAGAAGTTTATTAAAGGACAGCAGAAAAGACTTCTCCCGGAGGAAGAAGGGGACCCAAGAGGTGGAATCCATGGAAGTGCGGTTGTCTCCCCTTTTTATAGTTTTGGTGATGGAATGTAGGTTGGAAGGCCTGAGGGGTGGGACACAGGTGGGCCAAACAAGTAATCTGGGCAGGAAGGACTTCATTATCACTTCTTGGGATGGGCTATCTTCAAATCTGCTGGGGGCTATTTCCTGGGTTCCATTAACATTTCTTTGGGGTGGACTTTGGCCTAGGGCCTTTCCAGGACTTCATTAACATTCCATGAGTTGTCCTGCGTTCCCGGAATCATTATCATTATGGCCTCCATTTTAGATTTCACTCAATATGATATTAGACCCGATTTACCTAACTTCACCGACTACCTAATTTTAAATCTGGCTTCACCAGTTCCACCATAAAATCATAAGCAAGCCTCAAAACTCCCTATTTCTGTGCCTCTCCCATGACATATTCCCCACCTTTTCCCTCCCAGAAATCACACTCTTGAAATTGTCTTATTACTACTATTATTATTTACTTTTCAGTTCTCCATGGGAATTCCCATTTTCTTTCCCCATCATCATTTTTTTTTAAAGGAAGAGGGTGGGTGTAAGGGAGGGAAGTAGGAGAGAAAAGAAAAGAAAAAAGAAGAAAAAGTCCCATCTGCGTGTTAATATAAAACCAGAAATCTGCATTATTAGATTGCCGGAAAGCACTGAGCCCTCATCAAAGAAGGCTGCTCAGACCTTCAGAACTATGGTTTTGCCCTCAACCAACATGGTGAACGCGCATGACGTAGACTTAGACTTCCGTCGCGCTCTCTCTACCTACCCGCTCTTCCCAAGGGGGCGGCGAACTTCAATGACGGCTGCAGGCGGGGCGCATGCGCGGCGGCGGAGCCTGGCCCGCGGTGGTGGCGGTGAAGGGGCGTAGGGGATAGCTGTCCGCAGTTGCCAAGCTGCGGCGACTGAGGCGGGATGGTGTAGCCCGGCTTGCAGGCGGGAGGGTGGGGGGGGGGGCGAGTCGGCCGGGGACGGCCGACGCCGCCCTACGGGCTCGGGTGTAGCGGCAGCACGCTGAGGGGGCGTCGCCGCCGCCGGCCCCCGGAGCCGCCGCGGGAGGCCGCGCCCGCCATGGCGGCCCGGGCGGTGCTGGACGAGTTCACGGCGCCCGCCGAGAAGGCGGCGCTGCTGGAGCGGAGTCGCGGCCGAATCGAGGGCCTGTTCGGAGTGAGCTTGGCGGTGCTCGGCGCGCTCGGGGCTGAAGAACCGCTGCCCGCGCGCATCTGGTTACAGCTCCGCGGGGTGCAGGAGGCGGTGCACAGCGCCAAGGTGAGTTCGGCCGCCGCCCCCGCGCGCCTTCCTTCCCGGGCCCGGCCCGCGGCCTCAGCCGGGCCAGTCTCCCCTCCCTCCCTCCCTCCACCCACCCTGACCCCAGCGCTGAGGTTGAGAGCGCAGTGTTGGGAGCCGGCGAAAATTGCTTTCTCGCGGCACATCAACCATGTGACCTTGGGCTAGCGGTTTAATCCCGGGAGCCTCAGTTTCTCTATTGGTAAAGTGGTGCGGTGGAAGCACCTACCTTGGAGCATTGTCGCGCGGATGGAAGTGGGTGATAGGAATAAAGCACAGGGCACTGTGTTTAACCGGGAAACGTTGCCTGTTATCTGTAGCCGCCTCCTGGATGTGCGTAAGGCCCGCAGCTCCAGGTTCACAGTGTGTTTGTTTTCATCCAGACCTCCTCCATAGGGGGTTCTTGAACCTTGTAGGGTCTCAGTCCCTCTTGAGGATCAGGAAAAAACCGTGATAGTAAATATTCAGAGACTGTCGAGAAGTAGGGTATTTAATCAGAATGTTTAAAATAATATTATTCCTTGGGTTAATGTTATGCACAACTAACATTTGTATAATGTTGTTGCATATCAGACTTTACTCCGAATACTTACGGAATAATGCAGCCCTTTAAAAAAATCCAATGAGGTAGCTTTTTATGTCCTCCTTTTTTTCTTGTTAAATTATCAGCTGGGGAAACTGAAACTTGAAGTGGTGACTCACCTTGTATCTAAATCAGCATTTTAGACTACTTCTTCCCATACCTCTCCTTTCTTCCCTTCCCAAGCCAAAAACAAAATACGACCTGTGTAGGGGAGAAAAAAGCTTTTTACCGACTGGAGGTTCTGTAATTCAGCCTACAAAAAGATGGCTGAGTAATTGAAATAAACTTGACAGTAAACACATTAGCAGGAGAAAAACCTTTTTAATCGTGCATATATGCAGAGGAGTACCACAAAGTATGATTGGGAACAACAGCCAGGTGATTGAAGTTTTGTAGCATCCTGAGCTACAAGAGTAGTAGGAGCTTGTGGTTTTAGGTGATGGTTTCCTCTATAGCGGTATTTGGACATTTTTGGAAGGTTTGCCTTCAGTCAGATCAGGAAACTTCTGAGAAAGCCCCTCCCTTCATATGCTGTTCCTCAGGTGCTCTCAATTTGAAGTAATCAATATACTAAAGTGGCTTAAATAAGAACGATATTTCCTGAACCCCTTCACCCTCCCAGGTACCCGAGTTTCTCCAAATTTTCCCATTTATAGTAGGGCAGCAATATTCAGAAGTAGGGAGTTTGTTTCCAGAGCCCATGTTCTTGATAATTGCCTCTCAAATGATTTCTCTGGGGATGGGAGTGGGTCCTTTTATTGCCTATTTCACAGTGCTCTTGAAGATCTGAATAGTCCTGACATTCGTAGATTTAACAACAAAAATCTTAGATGCTTACTTTTTAACTTGTGAAGCTGCAGTAGGACATTTAACTGTTGAGTCTTCTCCATAGCTTATCTTAAAAAGTAAGTGTTGAATCAAGTTTGCATTTCTGTGCTACTAATTTCTTATTAAGTTGACTTTCTATTTTGTACAACTGGTCTAATTTCTTCCCATACCTCTCCTTTCTCCCCAGCTGCCTAATTTCTACTACTCAGGGCTGAAAAGTTCAACATGACTGACTTTCCTGTTGTTTCTGAATTATCTTACCTGTATTCATTCTCTCCTTTCCATTGTCTTTGCTGTGATTAAGACCTTCATTTTTGGTATGTGTCCCCTGCCTTGCTTCAATGCCTTTACTCTATGGCTCCCTCACTTTCTGGGGAGCTGCTGGAGCCTCCTATCACCTAGCTCATTCAGTCTGAACTTGAACTAAGAAAATACTCCCTACTAATCCAGCCCCATCTTATTTTCCTAATTTTCTGTTATAGCAGCTCTTTACTTAAACCTCCACTGTAGTCTAGACTCTGCCCTTGCTGGGTGTTTTTCCCCACTCCTGGTTCTGCTTTTACTGAAAGCAGCCCAAGGATAGAAAGTACTCCCTTTGCTATACGGAAAAGCCCTGCCCATTCTGCCAGGCCCTTCCAACTGCAGTTCTCTTGGCAATTACTACCATACAGGTTTAGCATAAAGTAATTTGAAAAGTTCTGTCTTACATAACTTTTGATAGCATGAGTCACCTCATAGTCCAACTCTCTCACATGTAAGAAATCCTTTTTCTCTCTTTCTTCCTTGAGATGCAGAGTAAGGAGCTGATGCGATGTTCAGGCTTTTTTTGTTCTTGATTGTTTGGAAGTGTGTTTTACATTTTTGGAGGAAAAAACATTAACTTCACTTTAAAAGTTAAGAACAGAGAGCCAACTTGATTCAACATCACAGTGTTTTAAGTTTAGCTGTTGAGAAACTGGTTGGGGAGAGGGAAAAGAGAGTAAAGAAGAGTTTTAATTATTTATTTATTGCAGGGCTGGGGACCCAACTCGGGGCCTCATCCACATACCACTAAGCCACATCCCCCCTGCCTAAGAATTATCTGGTATAGTCTCTGATCAGAATAAGAAGAGATGAACTGATTTAAATCGGGTCCCACCTGGTGGTTTACTTTTAAAATGTTAATTCACTACCTTTGCAAATTTTTGAGGAGAATGTTGAGGATTAATTAGGCCTTCATTCACTGGAGAGAGGCAAGTTGGGAGCTATTGGTAGAAAGTGGTAGTGCCTGCAGAGTTCAAAAAAAGGCACTGAGAGTGGCCAGCTTTGGACTTTGAGCCTGGAAGATTTTAGGTACTTGCATTCCAGATTGAGGTGGTTATGAGCAAAAGCTTGGAAGCCAGACTGATATAATAGAAAGTCTCAAGGACCCCCTGGGAGAGATGAATGCCAAGGGACCCAAGAGCCATGCCAGGACCCTTAGATTTTATCTAGTAGGGAGTCGGGATTTTGAGAAGAAAAAATTTGCCTGCTTTAGAATTAGGAAGATCCAACAGTGGTAGGAATATCATTCCAAGTTAGAGTTTGCATTGTTGGAGTGGGTAAAGTTTTTTCACAGATTTTGAAACTGAGTGGATGTAGAGATTTAGGGATAGATTTTAAGTCCTGGTTGCAGGAAGAATGGTTGATGTGTGCGTCCTGTTGGTTGGTGGGGCTCACCAGGTAGTTCACATTTAAGAAAAGCTCATGTGCATTCGCTATTGCTGTTTCACCTCAAGGAGCCTGCAGTCTTGTAGGGGAGACAAATATGGAAACAAACAGGACAGTGTGATACATGTAGCAGTTGAAGAGTGCAAGGTGTTATAGTAATACAAGAAAGGAAGGTTTGCTGTCTTCAACTAAGTTCTAAAGGATGAATGAGAGTTTTCTAGAGGATGTTGAGTTTCTGGCAGAGGAAAGAGCACACACAAAATCACAGGAATAGCCAGGCATGATGCATTCCTGTAATCCCAGCAATTCAGCAGGCTGAGGCAGGAAGATAGCAAGTTCAAAGCCAGCCTCAGCAACTTAGTGAGACCCTAAGCAACTTAGCAAGACCCTGTCTCAAAATATAAAAAATGGAATGTGGGTCAGTGGTTAAGTGGCCCTGGGCTGGGTTCAAGTCTCAATGCAAAAAAAAAAAAAAAAATCACAGGAATATGAGAGTGTAATTGCATTAGTTTCCTTAAGTGTTGAGAGAGTACGGAGGAAATTGTTAGAGGTAGAAAGGAGTGGGGCACATGTGTTTGGGGCCTGCTGAAGAACATGGATTTTTTAACATGCAGGTGGACAGTGGAGACCCCTGAACATGAGTGATGCAGACAGCAATATTCTTACAAAATGCTTCAGTGTTCACCACTCTGGGCTTGTGTTCCATTGATGGTTTGTAATAAGTACAGAAGGTTTAGCAACTTTCATAGCATTCTGTCTTTACTTCAGGGACTGGAGAGACGATGTATGAAAGTGAGAGGAAAACCAGAAGAGAGTATTGTCCACAGGGGGCCCACAGAGGGAGCTGATGTCAGTGGTAGAAGACTAAATGGAAGCAAAGGAGATTGAATTTCAGAGAGGAAGGGAGGTAGTAACCACCTCATGCAAAAGGAAAGAGATTAAAGATGTAAAGCAGTGTGGGAATTCTCTTCATAGGCAGTGGTGGAAAGGGATGTTGTTGAGATCTCTGCTGGGGAGTGAGATACTTTCTTTTCCATGAGAGAGTCACAAATATAGCTAGCACTCCCTGGTACCAGACAGAGAATCAGCCTAGGAAGTGACTGGATAGTACGGAAGAACTGGTGAGCTAAGGCTGTCTGCCCTGCAGGAGAGGGCAAATGCTCATGCATAGTATCAGACAGTTACACTGTGTATGTTCATTATCCACAAGCCTTTGGGAGTCTAGATTTCATTGTGTACAATCTAATGTGTGTTTTTTTTTTTTTAAGTGGCAACTAATTTATGTTTTTAAAATCACCCATGCTGTGAATTATATAAAATTTTGCATCAATACTTTTTTAAATTTTATATTGTTAAAAGCAAAATTAAAAACAATTATGCATGCTAAACAAAACATGTTAGTGAACCAGATTCAGCTTTTGAACTGCTTTTTTAGGATTCCTACTTTAATAGCAGACAGGATTAGTAAGCTAGCACCTTTTAGTTTTTGGTTTTTTGGGCTTGGAGAAGAGGGCACTTGAAAGCCCTAATGGCCTACAGTACTGTCTCAGTAAAGTAAAATGCTAGATCATCCCCAGAGAATGAGGGTGAGAGATTGAATATACGTTGTAGGTACAGGGGAACTGCTGGAAGTACATTGGAAAATAAAGAACCAGAAGAACTATGGGACTAAAATAAGGGCCAGGCAAAATTAGCGTGAATTTATAGTGTCACTTTACCCAGAAACTAGCTTTCTTTTCTTCCTTTTTTTTTTTTTTTTTTAATACTGAAGATTTTTGCCACTGAACTACATCCCCAGCCTTTTTATTTTTGAGACAGAATCTCGCTATGTTACTTAAGGTCTTGCTAAGTTGCTGAGGCTGGCCTCCAACTTGAGATCCTC